TGAGTGAGTGTGTGTGAGTGAGTGAGTGAGTGTGTGAGTGAGTGAGTGAGGGCGTGTGAGTGAGTGAGTGAGTGTGTGTGAGTGAGTGAGTGAGTGTGTGAGTGAGTGAGTGAGGGCGTGTGAGTGAGTGAGTGAGTGTGTGTGAGTGAGTGAGTGAGTGTGTGAGTGAGTGAGTGAGGGCGTGTGAGTGAGTGAGTGAGTGTGTGTGAGTGAGTGAGTGAGTGTGTGAGTGAGTGAGTGAGTGTGTGTGTGTGTGTGTGTGGAGCATGCCCCCAATTCGCGCAATGTTCTCACCTTTTTTCCCCTTTACCTGTTTGTATCTCTGGTTCAAGCACTGAAAACAAAGCAAGAGTCTTAAGTGAACATGAATATGTTTTGCTTATTTACTCTGGCTTTATTTCCAGCGATCCGTCCATCCTGGACGGTTTGGATCTGACAGAGGAGGAGAGGGACGTGCTCATCGACAACATCAACAGACGCCTCACCCCACAGGCTGTCAAAATCAGAGCGGGTACTCATCATAAAAATCTGTTGCACTTTTCACCATGCAGAAAATCCCAGTGCAAAGTAATTAAGTATTTTAATTAGTTTCAAACTTTTTTATTTTATTTTGTGGAGTAAAAAAAAAACATTAATTATTTATTAATAATATTTGTTATATTAGTACTTTTATGATTTATATAAAAGCAAATGAATAACAAATAATTTAATTTTATAATTTTTGTTTCCAGTCTGTAATCCACAACCATAACAAGTGTGTGTGTATATATATATATATACTTCTCTTTTTAAATATTCTCTGTAATTTTTAAATGTTTTCAAATGCAAATTCAATGAGTTTAAACAATTTGTACGTATACTGCTGCTCAAAATATTAAAGTCAGTAAAAAAATTTTTTAAATAAATTAATTTTATTCAGCAAGGAATTGATCAAAAGGGACACTAAAATGTTTATAATGTTAGAAAAGATTTCTTTTTCATATCTGACAACTTTCTATTCATCAAAGAATCCTGAAAAAAATATGAACTGTTTTCAGCATTGATAAAAAAAAATTGAGAACTGTCATTTTAAAGTGTTTCACAATATTATTTTTGAATGCCAAAATTTTTAACTGTAGTGTTTATATATAAAAATATATTTAGAAGAAAAGTCACTCTTTAGAAAATTCTCTCAGATCCATCGAACACTCTATGAAGCAAAGCTTTTCATTGTTTTTTTAAAAATGTATTTTAAGGTTCAAAGAAGAAAAAACAAATTAATAAATACACAATAAAAAGCAGATTGAAATAAATAAAAATTGGATTAAAATCATAATAAAACTCATTAAAATAAAAATTGTTTTTACTAAATAATAAATAAAATTACTAAAATAAACAATAAAAACATTTCATTAAAATTAGTACAAAGTAAAAAAAAAAATGAAGAAATATTTTGTTCTCCCTTTTATATGCCATACATTATCTTCATGTGTGTTCAGAGTGATGTTTGCTTTGTCCCACGGACAGATATTGAGGTGGCGTGTTATGGATATGAAGGCATTGATGCTGTCAAAGACGCACTGAGGGCGGGGCTTAACTGCTCCACAGAGGCCATGCCAATCAAGGTGAGATCCACTTCCTTTATATCCAGTTCTAGCAGATTCTGTGATTATAATCATGCGACGATTTCCTTCCAGATCAACCTGATAGCACCGCCGCGGTACGTCATGACCACCACCACTCTGGAGCGCACAGAGGGTCTGTCAGTGCTCAACCAGGCCATGACCGCCATCAAGGAGCGCATCGAGGAGAAGCGAGGAGTCTTCAATGTCCAGATGGAGGTCAGACACTTTAGAGCTTCATACATGTTCTAAATAGCATGGAATATACTTGATCTTTAAAGAACAAACACATGCTCGAGTTCAGACAAAAACCAAAGGAAACACAAAATATATTAAAATCTCTGATTGCATCCTCATGCATGAATGTTTCTCATCATGCAATATACATGATATTATTTACAATATACAGTAGATCAGGGGTTTTCAAACTGGCATCTGGACCAAGCTTAAAGAAAACAGTGTAAAAAATTAAGAAAGAAAGAAAAACTCTTAAGCAAAACATGATTAGGTCAAAGTGTCTGAATAATTTGTGGTCCCAAATTTTTATCAATTTTACTGGTAGTCCACTGTATGAAGAATTTTTTGGGTATAATATGTCAGAGATTACTTTATTTTAATATCCTCACTTACTTACATAAATGAACTATAGTGTCCTTCACCCACTATTAAAAAAGTATCAAAAATAATATCTGGTGTCTGAATAATTTTTGGTTTGACTGTATATACATGCATACAATTAATAATAAATATTAGTAAGATGTGACCCTGGAGCACAAAACCAGTCATAAGGGTCGATTTTTCGAAATTGAGATTTCTACATCATCTGAAAGCTGAATAAATAATCTTTCCATTGATGTATGGTTTGTTAGGAGAGGACAATATTTGGCTGAGATACAACTATTTGAAAATCTGGAATCTGAGGGTGCAAAAAAATCAAAATATTGAGAAAATCATCTTTAAAGTTGTCCAAATTAAGTCCTTAGCAATGCATATTACTAATCAAAAATTAAGTTTTGATATATTTACGGTAAGAAATTTACAAAATATCTTCATGGAACATGATCTTTACTTAATATCCTAATGATTTTTGACATAACAGAAAAATCGATAATTTTGACCCATACAATGTATTTTTGGCTATTGCTACAAATATACCCCAGCGACTTAAGACTGCTTTTGTGCTCCAGGTTCACATATTGGTACATAAAAATATTCAAATAAATACAAATTAATTAAAATAACAGTAATAATAATAAAATAAAATAAAAAAGATTAAAAATTTTAAAAATGGATTAAAATGAATAAATACATGGTACCAATTGTAAATAATAATTATATTTTTTAAATTCTTTCAGATCCATTGAACACTCTGTGAAGCAATGCTTTCTTAAACTATATATTTTTTTTCATTTAAAAAAAAAAAAAAGGATTAAAATAAAAGCATAGTGCAGTACTATAGCGAGTAGAAAAAAAACACAAAAATCCAATGCAGTATATAAGCACATTTCAAGTATTTGCTCTGATTGCGTGTTTGTCTTCAGCCTAAAGTGGTGACGGACACAGACGAGACAGAACTGCAGCGGCAGCTCGAGCGTCTGGAGCGAGAGAACGCAGAGGTGGACGGCGATGACGACGCTGAGGAGATGGAGGCCAAAACAGACGAGTAGATCAACAAGTGCTTCAGATGCTGCAGCTGATTCACTTTTACACAAACATAACGCTGATTTCTGAACCGGTGGCCTTTCAACCCTTCACTACTCTGATCAATCTTAACATTTGTGCTGATTCAGCGATGCAGAGGGAAGACTGCTGGTGATTTTCTGTGAAGAAAAACCTGTTTCTCAATCTCAGTCAAATTCTGGAAAGTTGTTGGAAGTTTTGTATTATTTAGCATCTGTATTTACATATTGACATGCTGCAAAGCTACTGTTAAATAATATTTGAAAGTACGTATTGTGAGTGAAAATTTTGCTCAAAATATCTAACCGAAAACATACTTGAGTGAAAGAAAGGCAGTACAACTTTACATTGTACTTAAGCGTTAAAAAATATAAAACGGCAAAAAAAAAAACTAGAAACCTTTTTTTTAATATATTATAGTAAAATTATTTATTTAAAAAAAAATTTCAAATACAGTATTTATTAAAGTGATTATATAATTTTTTATTAATTATTAAATGCCAAATGAATAAATTAAAATGTTTTGTCAGACAGACACAAGCAAGGTTTGGTTGAGGAGAGAGAAGAAAAAAAAACTACATTTCTTTGGTTTGGTTGTTTTTCCCAGCAAATATTTATGTGAATATAGAATAGAATGTAAATAATTTGATTAATATTAATTTCTTGACAGCCCAATTATTATTAAATTAAATTCGTTATTAGTGCATAATGTATGTAGTGCTGTCAAACAATTAATCGCATCTAAAATAAAAGTTTTTATGTGATATGTGTGTGTACTGTGTATATTAATTATGTATAAATGCACACACATACAATATATATTTTGAAAATATTTACATGTGTATATTTATAGAATTTATATTATATGTAACTATATTTAATATACAAATATAGCATATTTTTCTTAAATACATGCATGTGTATTTATATATACATAAATATACGCAGTACACACACATGTAAACAAATCTTTTATTTTGGATGTGATTAATCATGATTAATTGTTTGACAGATTTAATATGTATATATATATATATATATATATATGTGTGTATATACACACACACATATATATATATATATATATACTATTTCAGCTAGTTGCTAAAGCAACTGTTCTCATTTTTATTTAACTTGAACAAACTGATATCAAATGTAATACAAACTATAAAGACGTATTCAAAATAATGACAAAAGGAAATATATATATAAAAAAAAAATCTGCCAAATATTGACCCGAATGACTTAAAGTACTATAAATGTTTCCAGTGCTTTTCAGCATTATTATAGTTTAATAAAACCATAATATTTTCTCATTTATGATGAACTTGAACATAAAGCTGACAAACATTAATAAAAAACTATATAGACATTAAAAAAAACTGCTAAAACTTTATAATCCAAATCAAAATGGGAAATATAAAAAAAAAAAACTATACCAAACAATGATTTCAGGTCAAAATAAGTAAGAGTATAAGAACGTCATAAATGAAGAATTCACTTGCGTAAAATACAAATCATTCCAAAATAAGTGCACTAATTAAGCACTTTACACCCTGAAAATAACCCATGGAAAGTTAATATTCAATATTAATATTATATTAATTATATATTAATTTTACCGTTGCATTTGGTCTGTTGCAAAGAAACGTAAGGACTGACGCACAGCTTCAAAGTTGAAATTCAGGACACATTAAAAAGCACACAATGATTTTACTAAAAAAAAAAAGAATCACTTTTATTCAAAACACATCCACTGATAAGTACAAAAACAAAGACGATCAATCGTTGTGATGTTAATCAGTTTAGCGAGAGCTTCTGAATGGAGTCGCTTTAGTTTTAGTGAAACAACTGGGGAAAACGCTTTGGTTCGGTTGGCGAGTGCGACCAAAAGAAGAGAAACGGTAAAATCACAACCCAGACGAGATTGGCAATCATTACAGTAACAATTTACAACGGCTTCCTCAGAAAGAAGCGCCAAGCGGCCGAGACGAAGCTCCGCTGAAGACGGATTCAACAGGAAGGCCCTGAGAAATCAAACCTCTTCCTCTCGGCACTCGTCGCTGGCGGTCTGAAGGGCGTCTGGGACGTGAGAAATCAAACGGCTCAGTGTGTGTTAACTCCAAAGGTCAGAAATGGTCAAGTTTCCCCAAGTTGTTTTGAAACCTAGACGAGCTGTTCCCGGCCCAAACGGGAAGTAAAAAGCAAAGTTCATCGGCGTTCGGTGCTTGTTCATTTCCCCAGGCCGATCTTCTTGGCTTCGGTTTCGTAAATCAATAACCTCCACATTTTAACTATGAAGACCTCGGCCTCTTCGTCCAGCACCTGAGGAGACGAAGATGAAGAGTTCAGATGCTGTAGCTGTGGAAATACAACTTCAAAAACGGTGCAAAAGACCAAGCTTACCATCGCAACGTCATCCAAGATGCCTTGAGGTGTGCTGTGGGCCATTACCTGAGAACAAACAGAGATTGCTACTGAGATTTAAATCTATTACAGGATTCAATGAGTACACCCTGAATTAAAAAGTGTTATTTGTTATTCATACAAAATGTGAATAAAAATATTCAAATACAATATTCAAATAAATTATTTCATTATAAATTGATAAAACAAATGGATAAATATATTAAAATATTCAAAAATGTAAATTAATTATTTAAGTTACTTTATTACTTTATTCATTAATAAAATATAAAATAGTATTTGAATAGTAAAATGTTTTGTTCATTTTATTAATAAAAAAAGACAATTTACTATTTTTTAAATAGTTTTTTTAATTAAAAAAAATGTACGTCAATTTATTATTTGTCAATAAAATAATTTATCAAATTAATTTACTATTTTTGTTTAATAAAAAATTACATTTATTGAAAAAAATAATGTATTTAAATATATTTGTCAATTTCTTTTTTTATTAATAAAAAAGTTTTTAAAAATCATTTAAATCAGCGCTCAGCCTCTAATGAAGAAACCTGATAAAACGTCTAACCTTGGTGCAAACAAAGTCAACTAATGTGGCTTCTTCTTCACCAATGTACTCTACGATCTTCTTATTGATCCACGGTCGAATACGCTTCTCCATAAGGGTCTGTGAATATTCAGTAACATGAGTTATACATTAAACACACATTAAAACAGCTCAAGAATTAAGAAGAAAAACCCACAAACATTATTATTATTAATAATTTTTTTAGAAATTTAAAAATTTCCTTTCATGTTTTAATTTTAACAATAAACTGTTGCACTCTAGGGCTGTAAAAAAAAAAAATTAGAATTTCGAATATTCGTCGAATTAAAAAAAAAATCCAAAAACGTTGCATTCGAATTTAAGGACTGCTTCAGCCGTCAGGCAGCCTATCAGTGGCGCACGAGATGCGATGACTATGTATGTGTCATTGATTGCATTTGAATGCTTTTGTTAGCCTATCCAGTTGAACCCACTAGATGCGGCGCTGCTACGTTGTTCATACAATATATTGTGGAAAACGAGAGCATCAGTGTGGAGATGTTGTTGTTTACGGCGAAACTGAAACCAAGCCGTTCACACAGAACGCATATTTATCACATTTTCTAGAGGGACATCTATCAGCGTTGCACTCGCGTCTCGCACAAGAGAGCGGCATGTTTAGAAAGCTATGTAAAATTAATGCAAGTTCAACTTTAATAAAACATGTCTAAAGACTTTATGGCGGTTTTCCCCCATCCCACTGTATCTCATGTTTTTAAATGAAGAAAGTAGCCTACTCTTTGTGATTGGTTTTCGGTCCTTTGTATTAAACTATACATACATGCATGGTGCTGTTTTTTTTCGTGTCTCGCACAAGAGAGCGGCATGTTTAGAAAGCTATGTAAAATTAATGCAAGTTCAACTTTAATAAAACATGTCTAAAGACTTTATGGCGGTTTTCCCCCATCCCACTGTATCTCATGTTTTTAAATGAAGAAAGTATGTTTATGCAACTATTAATTATATATGGTTTATAAACATTATTTTAAACATTATGCACTTTTTTTTCCAGGAGAGAAGCCAAAAGCTTTTTTTCCCCCTAACTGAAATTACGCCTTTTAAATTCGAATATAATTTGAATTTTGATAATATTTAAGTGGAAAATTCTAATTTAGTTTTTCAGTCATTTTGACAGCCCTATTGCACTCCACTTTGATTACCAAAAAAATTAAAGGAATTGTTCAATTTTCATTTGATTACACAGAAAAAAATAATTTAAAAATTGTTTTATGCCTTATGATTACCAGTTTTTGATAATATAGTATTAAATTATAAATTCAGGAAAACTACAAGACAACATAGAATTTCTGAAAAAATAAAAGATTTCATAGAGCCCTATTATACATACAAAAAAAGTAAACTATTAAGCTGTTAAAGTTTTATAAATTCAATTGATTAGACACGGCTTTTTGATCATAAAAAAAAAAAAAAAATGGAAAACTTAAAACACGAAATTTGGGAAAAATAAAACAGATTTTTTTTTTTAGGGACCTAAAACTTCAAAATGATTGAAACTTTTTAAAACTTCTAAAACCTAAAACCTGTTAAACTTTTAATAAATTGAAATACATTTTAATAAAATGTTAAATTGTATAATTTTCATAGGGTCCTATTATTGTTATAATTTTAATAAACTATTAAAGGGTTAAGTTCACCCAAAAATGAAAATTGGTCCACATTTTACTCACCCTCAAGATCTGAAAGAAGAAAGTCACATACAACTAGGATGCCTTGAGTAAAGCATGGGCTAATTTTCATTTTTGGGTGAACTAACCCTTTAAGTAGTTAAAGTCTTATGAATTCAATTAACTATGCATGATTTTTAATTACTAAAATTTGATTCAAATTGAAGTAAAATTTACTAACATTTTATTTAATTATTAAAACAGAATACAGAAAAAAAAATAAAACAGAATATGGGAAAATATAAAACAGAACTAAAATAAAAAAGTGGATTAATGAGGTGGATTTGCGAGGGCTCTGGAGCATCACTCTCACCGTGTCGACGACGGACCAGTCGAGAGGGTAGTTAAAGAGCTCTGGTTTAGCCGTGGGGATCTTCTCGATCAGACTCTTGATGTGTTTGCGCTTCTCTTCTGTATTGACTCCTTTGCCGCCGGCTGCCGCACTCACGTCTGCTCCCTTCTCCTCATCCTCGTAGTCTAAAGGCACCAGCTTCCTCTTCCGAGGCGCCTCGTCCACTTCGTCGTCGTCAAAGCGGTTGAAGACGCTCTCCACCGCCAGCTTCTTCCGCTTGGCTACGCTGGGCTGTCCTGGGCTACCGGCTGAACCTTGTGACGGGATAAAGACAAACGTTTCCTACTGAAAACTGAGCCAAATATCACTAAGAACTAGTTTTATTTCTTATATGATAAATATTGTTATATAAATATTTATTTGTCATTACATAATGAAAATAAAATAATTCATTTAAATGCTATACTTATATTTATCTATTTATTTTCATTAATTAATAAAATTATGAAATAATTATAATGTAAAAAATTTATTTAATACAATAGTTGAATAGTTATCCATTTATTTTTCATTAATAAAAAAAATTATTCGTTTAAATAGTATATTTGCATACATCTACGAATTTAGATCTCATAAATAAAAATAAAGAAAAAAATTAAATACTACACTTGCATATATTTATCTTTTTAATTTTCAATAGAGAAAATAGATTAAAATAATTCATTTAAATACTATATTTTAATATATTTATCAATGTATTTTTCATTTATAAAATAAACAATGTATAAAAAAATAATTTTATTTATAACATTAAAAATGTATAAATATGCAATTTTTCATTAATTTATCATTTTAATTTTCATTATTTAAATACCAAATTTGAATAGATTTCTAAAGTTATTCTTAATGAACTAATTAAAAATACAATTATTCTTGAATATATTTGTTTTTAATTTCCATTAGAGAAATAAAAATAATTTAAATACTATTTATATATTATAATATTTATCAATTTATTTTTCATTAACAATTATTTAAAAAAGAAATAAAAATAATTCCACTAAAATACACTATTTAAACATTTTTAAAAAATGTAAAAAGCAATTCATTTAAATATTATACTTGAATATATTTATCATTTAATTTTGAATATATTTTTAATTTATATTCTTCCATTTGATTAAAATATATTTAAATACTTCAAGAGCAATTAAATAAATGAATATGAATATTTGAAGTATATTTGCAAAACAGAAGAAAGAGTAACTCAACTCGATTGTGCTATTTGTATTTGTTATTGGCCATAACATCCTGATTGGAAACCTCTCTCAACTCAAACTCACCTAGTTTGAGGCTGAGGCCGATCTTGGGCCGGTTCTCCTCCTGGAGCGGGATCTCGGGCGGAGAGTTCTCGTGAGGGATGATGATGCCGCAGGGCGAGTCTTCTCCGGGCGTGTCGGGCGTGGCGTTTCCGCTGGCTGAGGACACTGAGGGGGCGGCCACGATGGGCCGCATGGTGGGTTTGAGGCAGGGTTTCACCTCCTCTTCGTCCTCTAGCTCCTCCCCTTCCTCTACATCATCGTCAGAGGGGACGTGAGACTTACGCCGCTCTCTCTCCCGGCCTCGGTCGCGCTCTTCTCGAGAGGGCTTGTGCTCTCTCTCCTCCTCGGGCTCGGGCTTCACGGGCGGCTGCCGCAAACGCTCTGCCTCTTCCTCCATCTGACGAACACAAAAGCAGAAGATGTGAAACAGAAGAGAGCAAAACACAGAGCACTTTGCTTCCGGGAGGACTAAGGTTTTAAGCCACGAAACACCGCTCAGCACTGAGATTAATCACAATACACACTTTAATTTGAAACAAGTATTCGAAAAGCAGAAGACAAAAAACAGTCCCATGACACACTGCAAATGAGATGATAAAAAAAAAAGTATAATATTAAAATACTGGCTCAGTTATTATGATTAAAATATATATAAAAATTAATAATGTTAATGAAATACAATTATTTAAATAATAAAATTTAAATATTAGCTTTACCAATTTATTTTTCATTAATTAAAATAATTAAGATTAATTTAGATACTACACTTGATTAATTAAAAAAAAAATCATTAGTAACAAATTAATAATAATTTAAATCAAATATTACTCATTTAAATACTATATATGAATATTTTTATAATTTATAAAGCAATTAATAAAATTGAAACGCTGTACTTGAATATTTAATTTTTCATTAATAACAAATGATTAATAAAATAATTTAAAGGAAATAATGTAACTCATTTCAATACTAAACTTGAATATATTTATCAATTTATTATTCAATAATACAAAATTTTAAATAATGAAAAAATATTTAAATATTGTATCTGAATATATTAATAATTTCATCAATTAACAAAAAAGTATTAATGAAATTGAAATATTAAAATAATTCATTTAAATACTACATTTGAATGTATGTTTATTTTTCATTAATTAAAAAAATATGACAATTAAAATAATGAAAAAGAATTCATTTAAATACTACATTTGAACATATGTATTAAATTGTCAATAATAACAAACTAATAAGAAAACAATGAAATAAAATAATTCATTTAAAAATCCTACATTTAAAAATATGCATCAATTTACATTTTTCATTTGATATGTATTGAAAGTGCATTTGACTAAATGAATATGATTATCTGAAGTATATCTGTGAACTGACTGACCCTGCGCAGCTCAGCGTCTGGATCAGGATGTCCTTCTGCTAGCAGCCTCTGCCTGATCTCCTCCAGCTCTTCCTTCTCCCGCTTCCGGTCACGTTCATCCAGCTCTATCTCCTTCTCTCGGTCCCGCAGTCGCTTCTGAAGAGCGCTGCCCCTGCAGGCAGAGCAGAGAAACAGACCATTTAGGTCACGTCCACAGTTTTCAGACAGAGTTTTGAGGACTTTAGTAGCAAGATAACTAGATTTGTTTGTTCTCAAGGTAATATGTGACCCTGGAGCACAAAACAGGCTATTTGTAGCAACAGCCAACAATACATTGTATGGGTCAAAATTATTTATTTTTCTTTTATGCCAAAAATCATTAGGATATTAAGTAAAGATCATGTTCCATGAAGATATTTTGTAAATTTCCTACCGTACATATATCAAAACTTAATTTTTGATTAGAAATATCCATTGCTAAGAACTTCATTTGGACAACTTTAAAGATGATTTTCTCAATATTTAGATTTTTTTGCACCCTCAGATTCCAGATTTTCAAATAGTTGCATCTCAGCCAAATATTGTCCTATCCTAACAAACCATACATCAATGGAAAGCATGTTTATTCAGCTTTCAGATGATGCATAAATCTCAATTTCGAAAAATTGACCCTTATGACTGGTTTTGTGCTCCAGGGTCACATATGCCATTTCAGATCTATCTGCCTCTAAATGTGACGTAAAAAAAAAAATCATAGATTTGATGGTGCACAGAACTCACCTGTAGTATTTTGGGTCGTCTCTGTCGTCATCATAATCTTCCAGAAACTCCTTCAGCCGTTTCCCTTCTTTAGCCTGAGAAAACAATACGAGAGAAACATTCAGTAATTCAAACAGAAACATTCTACATATTACATTTCCCATTTATTTTTCATTTATAAAACTAATTAGTAATATTAAATACTAATCAAATAAAAATGAATTTAAATACTACATTTGTACTATATCCAAGTATTTTTCATTAATAAAATCATTAAACTATAAAAGACAATTCAATAAAATAATTCAATCATTATAATTGAATATTTTTCCATTTAGTTTTCAATAATAAAAATAATTAATAAAAAGTAATGAAAAAAATATTCACTTAAATACTACATTTGAATTTATCAACTTATTTTTCATTAACTAATTTAAAAAAAATCTATTAAAATATTGAAATTAAAATTAATTTGAATACTATATTCGCAAATATTTATCCATTTGTTTTTCATACTAAAAAAATATTCGATTACATTTCATTAATAAAAATAATTATTAAAAAGTAATGAAAAAATTCACTTAAATACTACATTTGAATTTATCAACTTATTTTCCTTTAACTAATTTAAAAAATTCAATTAAAATATTGAAATTAAAATACATTTAAATACTATATTTAAAAAAAATATTTATCCATTTGTTTTTCATACTAAAAATATATCCTTTTATTAACAAAATAATAATCATTAAAAAACTAATGAAATAAATATTATATTTCAATCTATTTATCAATTTACTTTTCATTAGTAAAAAGTAATTAAGAATATAAATGTTGACAAAATTAGTACAAAATTAATGCAATATAAATATATATCTTTGAATAAAACACCTTGTTAAAAGGGATCAAATACCTTTCAACAATTTGCACATTTATATTCATAAAAACATATTCAGAAACAAATGTAAAAATAGACATATACATGTCTGTAAATAAAATTAGAAATATAAAAGAGAAAATGTTAATATAAATATTTATAAATAAATACCTTGTTAAAAGGTATCAAATACAGTTAAACATTTTTCATACTGAAAAATAAATATTCATAAATATAGATGTAGAAATATAAATGTTGATAAAGAAAATAGGATGAATACAATTACAGTGTTTCCCCTAGTTTTACAGCTTTGGGGGGTCCATTTCTTTTTTTTTTTTATGGTTAAATTAAATTTTATTAATCAAAAAGCATGTCTAATTAATTAAAATCATGAAAATTTTTTAAGGCATAAACATTCATTTAATTATCTTTTAAGTAATGAAAATTAAACAAATTTTTTTGGGGGAAAATAAAGGTCATTAATGATTACAATTAAAACATTGAAGAAATATTGTATGATTATTCCTTAA